CTGCTTCCTACCCCTATCTTCATTACATTACATTTGCTTGGGTTAAACTCTAACATCCATTTGTTCGACCATTCCTGCAGCTTGTCCAGGTCTTCTTTAAGCCTCAAGCTGTCCTCCTCTGTCTTAATCCTTCTCATAATTTTGGCGTCGTCAGCAAACATTGAGAGGAATGAGTCTATACCCTCTGGGAGATCATTTACGAATATCAGAAACAGGATAGGTCCAAGCACAGAGCCCTGTGGGACTCCACTGGTGACTTCACGCCATTCTGAGGTCTCACCCCTCACTATAACTCTCTGCTTCCTATTGCTTAGGTACTCCCTTATCCACTGGAGCGCCCTACCAGTTACTCCTGCCTGTTTCTCCAGCTTATGCATCAACCTTTTATGGAGTACTGTGTCAAAGGCTTTCCGACAATCCAAAAAAATGCAGTCCGCCCATCCTTCTCTTTCTTGCTTAATCTTTGTCACCTGATCATAGAATTCTATCAAGCCTATAAGGCAAGATTTACCCTCCCTGAACCCATGTTGATGGGTTGTCACGAAGTCTCTTCTCTCCAGATGTGTTACTAGGTTTTTCTCACAATCTTCTCCATCAGAGAATTCACATACATACATACATACGTATGTATGTATGTATGTATGTATGTATGTATGTATGTATGTATGTATGTATGTGTGTATTCCCAATCTGGTTAAAGACTCCCCCTCTATCATGTAATTAAAGAGAAAAACAACTATGAACTAAATAATCAACTCCTTGTAACTTTAATTATGCTGACCTTCCTATCTGTATTCAGACTGTGCCTACTATGGTATATAATATTGATTGGTGAAGCACTGTTATTCTATGTAATAATTTATAGTGCTTATTATAATTTACTAAGAACAACTAATATTTCTCAAAACAAAACTACGAGCCTTTAAAAGGATGTAGCTGATCTGTAATATTCTAAGAGCATGGACAATAGTAGGTAAATTTCACAACCCATGTGGGACCTGAAAACTACAATTTTCATTATAATTGAACCAATCACGACTATTCTGCTATCTACGTTGATGGACGGGTACTGTGAGACGTAAATTGGTACGTGAGGAAGAGTTTGGGCCTTGATAAAAAAGGTAACTGGAAATATATCACATATGTACTAAATCACATTCAACATATTGACTTTAAGCATTAAGTCATATATGTGCTGTCTTGTGTGAGAAGGGGTTGTTTACTTTTATGATATAATTTCGACCCACAGCGGCGAGTGGTTCACCAGGCGACTTCTAGATGTCCCAATTGGCCTGTTTATGACGGCAACCCCCCCCCCCACTAGGGCCGGCAGGAACCACGGCGTCTCCTATTGGTTCATAGTATCCACGTCCGTCAACTTGATTCCTTCTTGGAGAAAGACGAGTGGTGTTGGGAGCTTGTTTGACACACACACACACACACACACACACACACACACACACACACACACACGCTGACTTTCGCTGTCATTCCGTTCGTTTATTGCCAAGAGAGTAACCGGGAGGTTGGCTTCGTGAAACGATCGAGAACCTTCTAGGATGATGGGCTTCCAGGAACATGTTTCTCTGGTCGTTACAAAGTGATGGTTCCCTCTCGTTAAGTGTACCCTCTTGATGGTCAACCATACTCCGTTTTCCATCACCTTATAAATGCTCGGTGTTGAACCAACAACCTTTATCACTGTAACCATCTACACTACACACGCGACCATTATCACTGTAACCATCTACACTACACGCGACCATTACCACTATAACCATCTACACAACTCACACGACCATTATCACTGTAACCATCTACACTACACACACGACCATTATCACTGTAACCATCTACACTACACACGACCATTATCACTGTAACCATCTACACTACACAAGACCATTATCACTGTAACCATCTACACTACACACGACCATTATCACTGTAACCATCTACACTACACACGACCATTATCACTGTAACCATCTACACTACACAAGACCATTATCACAGTAACCATCTACACTACCCACGACCATTATCACTGTAACCATCTACACTACACACGACCATTATCACTGTAACCATCTACACTACACACGACCATTATCACTGTAACCATCTACACTACACACGACCATTATCACTGTAACCATCTACACTACACACGACCATTATCACTGTAACCATCTACATTACACACGACCATTATCACTGTAACCATCTACACTACACAAGACCATTATCACAGTAACCATCTACCCTACACAAGACCATTATCACTGTAACCATCTACACTACACACAACCTTTATCACTATAACCATCTACACTACACACCTTTATCACTAACCATCTACACTACACAAGACCATTATCACAGTAACCATCTACACTACACAAGACCATTGTCACTAACCATCTACACTACACAAGACCATTATCACTGTAACCATCTACAATACACACAACCTTTATCACTGTAACCATCTACACTACACGCCTTTATCACTGTAACCATCTACAATACACACAACCTTTATCACTGTAACCATCTACACTACACACCTTTATCACTGTAACCATCTACACAACACACCTTTATCACTGTAACCATCTACACAACACACCTTTATCACTGTAACCATCTACAATACACACGACCATTACCACTGTAACCATCTACACTGAATGACTGGTCCAACAAATTGGTACTACAGTTCAACCCGAGTAAATGTAAGGTGATGAAACTAGGCAGTGGCACTAGGAGGCCAGACACAGGATACCGAATGGTAGATGAAGTTCTTCACGAGAGTTGGTGTCACACCAAACCTGTCTCCAGAAGCCCACATAAAAAGCATAACATCGGCGGCGTATGCGAAGCTGGCTAACATCAGAACTGCCTTTAGAAACCTGTGTAAGGAATCATTCAGAACCCTTTGTATACCACATATGTAAGACCAATCCTGGAGTATGCGGCCCCCAGCATGGAGCCAGTACCTTGCCAAGCACAGGACTAAGCTGGAAAAATTTCAAAGGTATGCAACTAGGCTAGTTCCACAACTAAAAGGCACGAGTTACGAGGAAAGGCTACATGAAATACACCGAACGTCGCTGGAAGATAGGAGATAGGTAGTGATGTTGTCTCCCCGAGACACGATCACTACCCACAAAATTCTAAGAGGAATCGACAGGGTAAACATAAATTGTTTAACACGGCTGGTGCACGAACAAGGGGACACAGGTGGAAACTGAGTACCCAAATGAGCCACAGGGGCATTAGAACGAACTTTTTCCGTGTCAGAGTAGTTAATAGATGGAATGCAGTGGTGGAAGCTGACTCCATACACAGTTTCAAATGTGGATATGAAAGCGCCCAGTAGGCTCAGGAATCTGTACACCAGTTGATTGACAGTTGAGAGGCGGGACCAAAGAGCCAGAGCTCAACCCCCGCAAGCACAACTAGATGAGTACTGCACACGACCTTTAATTTTTTTTTCTTTTTTTTTTTTGCACGGAAATTCCTGCGCAAGTCCTAAGCCTCAAGTTTTTTTTTTATTAATAACCATCTACACTACACAGCTAAATACACAAACAAACGTTTACATTCCATTTGTCAAACATCCTACCACTCCAACACACAAAGTCCTTCCGAACCACTTGAGATCGACCACTGATCTCGTACACATTCGACGACATCCTCCGCCTGAAGCAGACAACAATTGAACTTTCAAAAGCCCTTCCCCCTCCCCACTGCATACACAGCAAAACAGCGATCAAAAACCTCAAGGTAAACGATTGACTGTTCATTTGATCTATAAACATACATTCCGTCGAGGCAGAACTATCCAAAACGAGTAGAACGTAACACTAACCATCTAGACTACACACAACCTTTATCACTGTAACCATCTACACTACACACAATCTTTATAGGTCTCGCTTCATGCAGGTTGGCATTCAATCCCCAACCGTCCAAGTGGTTGGGAAACAATTCGTTTCCCCCCGTCCCATCCCAAATCCTTATTCTGATTGACTGATGAAGATCAAGCCACCCAAGAGGTGGCACGCGCCATTATCCTGACTTTCCAAGTGCTATATAGTCGCAATGGCTTGGCGCTTTCTTCTCATAATTTCCTCCCTCCCCTACAGTCGAGGCGGGACTACCCAAAACGAGTAGAAGGTACCATGACCCAGATCACCAGTGACAGGAACGGCAACAACCAGACCACAGCACCACAACGTAACAATGAACGCCGGAGACACAATTGCAGATGTGCGGCTATTTGCAGTCTCCAAGTGACGCCACGCGAAATCCCAAACACGAGGCAACGCCTATCATGCCATATTGAAGGCCCTCACCAGAACAAAACCCCTCTCTACCCGATCCGCAGAGCCAGAATCATCGGTGAGATTATTAATTACCGAAACATCCTTCACATGATCGTGGAGAAATATAATAGTTTTATAGGTCCGGATCATGGAGTGAACTTGCATCTGTTTCCTGCAACAATGGAGCTCGTTAAGGGTCCCACAAACCACAGCGACAGGCATCGTACAGTAATTAAGAAGCTCTACAATCCACAGGAGCCAAAGACCTACAACGGCTGGCATACGACCGGCACTCCGATTATACCTATGGCTGTCGTAACCACTAAATCACCCTTTGCTTGATGGACGGCACCCAACCAGATGTGTATTATTATTATTATTTTCTACCACAAACGTGGCCAAACAATGCTAGAGACACACACATACATTTTCTTCTGTCCTCCATGAACAGTGAAGGAGGAGGGGGGGAGGGGGGGTACCTGCAGTGTTGAGATGTTGAGATATCACTATTACCATCCCTTACCCGCCAAATCCATCCTTACTATTCTTGCTTCACCAACCCCACACAGCCATTCTATCCATGCTAATAACGGGTTTCATCCTAAATATAAAGCAGTTAATTATACCCATTTCCTAAATATAAATCAATAAATTACACTCGCTCACACATTTTGTTTAAAACAAAATGTCTCTCAAAATCGTTCTAAACTTCTCGTTGTTGGTGGTGTTCTTCGTGCTCGTATGTACGTAATGGTGGCTGGGGTGGCAGCAAGCCCTGGTGGGTGACCACCTCCACGGGCTCAGGAAGCAGGTTGCCGACTGGCAGACCCGCTAGAACGGTATTACAAGCCTTGCTAGCGGATTAGCAAAAGGTTTTCTCGGTTTCTCGCCAGTGCCAAGATGTCCTCATACGCTATTCGATGACCGCCTTGCTATGCCAGTGTGGCAGTCGGTGCCACCTGTGTCTTAGTTTGTACGCCTCCAGCATTCAAGCCGGCAGGTGGAGGGCTTGCGTTCGTTCCTGCTACAGGTGGGCGAGGAGCCACAAAACCACGATGGCCAATATGGTCATTGGTCCGAATGTTTGCCTATCACTTCCCTGCTGTTACTACTTCAGCAATTAATATGGGCCGTAAAGATTTTGTGGGGCCGGAAGAAAACACACATTTAATAGCGTCAGAACGATGACAATCGGCATCAAGTTGCTCAAAATGATGAGGAGCCTCTCATGCTCCCTCACGAGGAAGCCAAAAAGAATGTCATCGCAAGTGAAGACAAGTGGTATGAAGTATCTGAAAATGATGAGGAGCCTCTCATGCTCCCTCACGAGGAGATGGACGTAAACACTAGTACAAAAGAAGAATAAGAAGAAAGCAAATCCGACTCCCCCAAAAAAGTTATGAAGGAACCAAAAGACAAAAAGTCAAAAGCCTGCCCCAAGAAACGTCGCCGCCCACAAAAGATACAATGCCAAGAAGACGACCCCACCGAGTTGATCACACTGACAGTTCAGTGCCCATAATATTACCAAATGAAACTCATAAGCATGTACGAAAAAAAGCACGACGTGTTTCTCAAATTGGGCGGCGGCACCAACACTGTAGAAGTGTTCGGCGAAAAACAAAAGGCAGAAAAATGTTAAAGTGATATAGAGGCGTTTATGACGGAAATAAAAAATAAAAAATTAGATAAAAAACGTGCTTGGGCGCAGAAGGTAAAGGACAAGCGTGGCCAGGTACCCAACAAAATGCCCAAAGACATCACTGGACAGGGGCCCGACCGTTTTGAGACCACAGATGGCCCTGCCAAGGCAGCGCCAGCAGCCACTGGTGGCCCTGCCAAGACATCGCAAGTAGAAAAAGGTGGCCCTTCCAAGGCATCGCAAGCAGAAAAAGGTGGCCCTTCCAAGGCATCGAGAGTGGGAAAAGGTGGCCCTGCTAAGACATCGCAAGCAGAAAAAGGTGGCCCTTCCAAGGCATCGCAAGCAGAAAAAGGTGGCCCTTCCAAGGCATCGCAAGCAGAAAAAGGTGGCCCTTCCAAGGCATCGCAAGCAGAAAAAGGTGGCCCTTCCAAGGCATCGAGAGCGGAAAAAGGTGGCCCTTCCAAGGCAGCGCCAGCAGCCACTGGTGGCCCTGCCAAGACATCGCAAGCAGAAAAAGGTGGCCCTGCCAAGGCATCGAGAGCGGAAAAAGGTGGCCCTTAAAAGGCAGCGCCAGCAGCCACTGGTGGCCCTGCCAAGACATCGCAAGCAGAAAAAGGTGGCCCTTCCAAGGCAGCACCAGCAGCCACAGGTGGCCCTGCCAAGACATCGCAAGTAGAAAAAGGTGGCCCTGCCAAGGCATCGCCAGCAGCCACTGCTGGCCCTGCCAAGACATCGCAAGCAGAAAAAGGTGGCCCTTCCAAGGAATCGCAAGCAGAAAAAGGTGGCCCTTCCAAGGAATCGCAAGCAGAAAAAGGTGGCCCTTCCAAGGCATCGAGAGCGGGAAAAGGTGGCCCTGCTAAGGCATCGAGAGCGGAAAAACTTGGCCCTGACAAGACATCGCCAGCACCCACTGATGGCCCTGACAAGACATCGCCAGCACCCACTGATAGCCCTGACAAGGCATCGCCAGCACCCACCGATAGCCCTGACAAGGCATCGCCAGCACCCACTGATAGCCCTGACAAGGCATCGCCAGCACCCACTGATAGCCCTGACAAGGCATCGCCAGCACCCACTGATAGCCCTGACAAGGCATCGCCAGCAGACACTGATAGCCCTGACAAGGCATCGCCAGCAGACACTGATGGCCCTGACAAGACATCGCCAGCACCCACTGATAGCCCTGACAAGGCATCGCCAGCACCCACCGATAGCCCTGACAAGGCATCGCCAGCACCCACTGATAGCCCTGACAAGGCATCGCCAGCAGACACTGATGGCCCTGACAAGGCATCGCCAGCAGACACTGATGGCCCTGACAAGGCATCGCCAACAGACACTGATGGCCCTGACAAGGCATCGCCAGCAGACACTGATGGCCCTGACAAGGCATCGCCAGCAGACACTGATGGCCCTGACAAGGCATCGCCAGCAGACACTGATGGCCCTGACAAGGCATCGCCAGCAGACACTGATGGCCCTGACAAGGCATCGCCAGCAGACACTGATGGCCCTGACGAGGCAGCGCCAGCAGACACTGATGGCCCTGACGAGGCAGCGCCAGCAGACACTGATGGCCCTGACAAGGCATCGCCAGCGGACACTGATGGCCCTGACAAGGCATCGCCAGCGGACACTGATGGCCCTGACAAGGCATCGCCAGCGGATACTGATGGCCCTGACAAGGCATCGCCAGCAGACACTGATGGCCCTGACGAGGCATCGCCAACAGACACAGATGGCCCTGACAAGGCATCGCCAGCGGACACAGATGGCCCTGACAAGGCATCGCCAGCGGACACAGATGGCCCTGACAAGGCATCGCCAGCGGACACTGATGGCCCTGACAAGGCATCGCCAGCGGACACTGATGGCCCAGACAAGGCATCGCCAGCAGACACTGATGGCCCTGACGAGGCATCGTAGGCCTACCAACACGGTCCTCCAGTAAGAAGATATGAGCTTCCACCAAAAATCCCAAAGTTTAAACGCCCTCCACAGGCTATAAGATGCCCTAAGACAGCCCCGCCATCTTCAGATCCTCCCAAGGCTCCAGTTGAACAAAAAATATTTTATGGGCAAATCCCACCCTAAGTATGGATAGACAACGCGCCAGAGAAAAAGGTGCAGGAAGCTCCACGTAAACCAAGAGTTGTGGAATAGGAATAACCAGTAAAAAACAAAAAAGCAATGGCAAAAAGTGAAAAAGCAAAGGCAAAAGCTGCCGAAAACAAAAGCAAGCAAAATGAAAAAAACAAAAATGACAGTAAAAAGTAAAAGAAATGACCCCAATGACCATTTCACTCATACCTTAATTGGGGTTTCAAATGAAAATGGTTATGGAATGGGTCGACTTGACGACGACAAGTCCGGGGTAGGGTCATGGGCCCCATGGACCCCGAAGACGAGTCTCGGGTAAGCATTAGTCTCGTGGGGGACTAACACGGCCGTGGCGCTGTCCTCTTGGCCCGCGTGCTTTGAGGATACTCTTGGCCCGCGTGCTTTGAGGGCCCTCTTGGCCCGCGTGCTTTGAGGGCCCTCTTGGCCCGCGTGCTTTGAGGGCCCTCTTGGCCCGCGTGCTTTGAGGGCCCTCTTGGCCCGCGTGCTTTGAGGGCCCTCTTGGCCCGCGTGCTTTGAGTGCCCTCTTGGCCCGCGTGCTTTGAGGGCCCTCTTGGCCCGCGTGCTTTGAGGGCCCTCTTGGCCCGCGTGCTTTGAGGGCCCTCTTGGCCCGCGTGCTTTGAGGGCCCTCTTGGCCCGCGTGCTTTGAGGGGCCCTCTTGGCCCGCATTGGGTTTTGCGCGGGCCCTCTTGGCCCGCATTGGGTTTTGCGCGGGCCCTCTTGGGCCCGCAAATCTGTGTGTGTGTGTGTGTGTACTCACCTAGTTGTGTTTGCAGGGGTTGAGCTCTGGCTCTTTGGTCCCGCCTCTCAACCGTCAATCAACAGGTGTACAGATTCCTGAGCCTATTGGGCTCTATCATATCTACACTTGAAACTGTGTATGGAGTCAGCCTCCACCACATCACTTCCTAATGCATTCCATTTGTCAACCACTCTGACACTAAAAAAGTTCTTTCTAATATCTCTGTGGCTCATTTGGGCACTCTATTTAACACAAGGGGACACAGGTGGAAACTGACTGTCTTTATCTACCCTATCAATTCCCTTCAGAATCTTGAATGTGGTGATCATGTCCCCCCTAACTCTTTTGTCTTCCAGCGAAGTGAGGTTTAATTCCCGTAGTCTCTCCTCGTAGCTCATACCTCTCAGCTCGGGTACTAGTCTGGTGGCAAACCTTTGAACCTTTTCCAGTTTAGTCTTATCCTTGACTAGATATGGACTCCATGTTGGGGCTGCATACTCCAGGATTGGCCTGACATATGTGGTATACAGAGTTCTGAATGATTCTTTACACAAGTTTCTGAATGCCGTTGGTATGTTGGCCAGCCTGGCATATGCCGCTGATGTTTTCCGCTTGATATGTGCTGCAGGAGACAGGTCTGGCGTGATATCAACCCCCAAGTCTTTTTCCTTCTCTGACTCCTGAAGAATTTCCTCTCCCAGATGATACCTTGTATCTGGCCTCCTGCTCCCTACACCTATCTTCATTACATTACATTTGGTTGGGTTAAACTCTAACAACTAATCTTAATCTTTGTCACCTGATCGTAGAATTCTATCAAGCCTGTAAGGCAAGATTTACCCTCCCTGAACCCATGTTGGCGATTTGTCACGAAGTCCCTTCTCTCCAGATGTGTTACCAGGTTTTTTCTCACGATCTTCTCCATCACCTTGCATGGTATACAAGTCAAGGACACTGGCCTGTAGTTCAGTGCCTCTTGCCTGTCGCCCTTTTTGTATATTGGGACCACGTTCGCCGTCTTCCATATTTCTGGTAGGTCTCCCGTCTCCAGTGACCTACTATACACTATGGAGAGTGGCAAGCAAAGTGCCTCTGCACACTCTTTCAGTACCGATGGCGAGATCCCATCTGGACCAACAGCCTTTCTAACATCCAGATCCAACAGATGCCTCTTGACCTCCTCTCTCGTAATTTCGAACTCTTCCAAGGCCGCCTGGTTTACCTCCCTTTCTCCTAGCACAGTGACCTCACCTTGTTGACCTGTGTGTGTGTGTGTGTGTGTGTGTGTGTGTGTGTGTGTGTGTGTGTGTGTGTGTAATTACCTAAGTGTAGTTACAGGATGAGAGCTACGCTCATGGTGTCCCGTCTTCCCAGCACTCTTTGTCATATAACGCTTTGAAACTACTGACGGTCTTGGCCTCCACCACCTTCTCACTTAACTTGTTCCAACCGTCTACCACTCTATTTGCGAAGGTGAATTTTCTTATATTTCTTCGGCATCTGTGTTTAGCTAGTTTAAATCTATGACCTCTTGTTCTTGAAGTGCCAGGTCTCAGGAAATCTTCCCTGTCGATTTTATCAATTCCTGTTACTATTTTGTATGTAGTGATCATATCACCTCTTTTTCTTCTGTCTTCTAGTTTTGGCATGTTTAATGCTTCCAACCTCTCCTCGTAGCTCTTGCCCTTCAGTTCTGGGAGCCACTTCGTAGCATGTCTTTGCACCTTTTCCAGTTTGTTGATGTGCTTCTTAAGATATGGGCACTACACAACAACTGCATATTCTAGCTTTGGCCTAACAAAAGTCATGAACAATTTCTTTAATATATCGCCATCCACGTATTTAAATGCAATTCTGAAGTTAGAAAGCATCGCATAGGCTCCTTGCACAATATTCTTTATGTGGTCCTCAGGTGATAGTTTTCTATCTAGAACCACCCCTAGATCTCTTTCTTTATCAGAATTCTTTAAAGATTTCTCACATAATATATAGGTTGTATGGGGTCTATGTTCTCCTATTCCACATTCCATAACATGACATTTATTAACATTAAATTCCATTTGCCAGGTGGTGCTCCATATACTTATTTTGTCCAGGTCTTCTTGAAGGGCATGACAATCATCTAAATTTCTTATCCTTCCTATTATCTTAGCATCATCAGCAAACATGTTCATATAATTCTGTATACCAACTGGTAGATCATTTATGTACACAATAAACATCACTGGTGCAAGAACTAAACCCTGTGGTACTCCACTTGTGACATTTCTCCATTCCGATACATTGCCTCTGATTACTGCCCTCATTTTTCTATCAGTCAGAAAATTTTTCATCCATGATAGAAGCTTACCTGTCACCCCTCCAATATTTTCCAGTTTCCAGAACAACCTCTTATGTGGAACTCTGTCGAAATCCTTTTTTAGGTCCAGATAGATGCAGTCAACCCAACCATCTCTTTCCTGTAATATCTCTGTGGCTCGATCATAGAAACTGAGTAAATTCGATACACAGGATCTTCCAGATCGAAAACCATACTGTCTGTCTGATATTATATCATTTCTCTCCAGGTGTTCTACCCATTTAGTTTTAATTAGCTTTTCTAATACTTTCACTATTACACTTGTCAATGATACAGGTCTATAATTGAGGGGGTCTTCCCTGCTGCCACTTTTGTAGATTGGAACTATGGTAGCCTGTTTCCACACGTCTGCTACGATTCCTGTACACAGGGATGCCTGAAAGATCAGGTGAAGTGGAATGCTGAGCTCAGATGCACATTCTCTCAGAACCCATGGTGAAACGCCATCTGGGCCAGCTGCTTTGTTCTTCCCGAGCTCCTTTAGCATATTTTCCACTTCATCTCTAGACACCTCTATCCGCTCTATGTTGTTCTCTGGAATTCTTATTGTGTCTGGTTCTCTGAAGATTTCATTTTGTACAAACACACTTTGGAACTTTTCATTTAATGTTTCACACATTTCCTTTTCATTTTCCGTGAATCTGTTTCCCATTTTCAACCTCTGGATATTATCCTTTACCTGCAATTTGTTGTTTATGAATTTGTAGAATAGGCCCGGTTCTGTTTTACATTTATCTGCTATCCCTTTTTCAAAATTTCTTTCTGCCTCTCTCCTTACTGCTGTATAGTTGTTTCTCGCATCTTTGTATCGCTGGTATGTTTGGGGGTTTGGCCTCTTCCTATACTGATTCCATTTTTGTGTCAGAAATTTCTCTTTTGTGTCAGAATCTCTCACAATTTCTGTCGAACCAATCCTGTTTTCTGGCCCTGCATCTCTGTTTTGGTATGAATGTTTGTGTGCCTTCCTCGTATAGTTTTAAAAATTTGGCATACATTTCATTTACTTCCCTGCCTAGCAACTTCCCTGTCCAATTGCACTCATTAAAAAATTTTCAAAGTTCCCCATAGTTGCCTCTCCTTAAATGGAGTTTATCAACTATTTCAATGTCCCCATTTTCTTCTAGATGATATCTTAAAGCATATTTAATGTCTAACAGGACGTGATCACTCTTTCCCAAGGGAGGAAGGTACTGGATGTCAAAAATCTCTTCTTCTTTCCTGGTGAATACTAGATCCAGTACTGACGGTACATCTCCTTCCCTCATTCTTGTGGCTTGCTTTATGTGTTGATACAAGAATGTCTCCAGAATGAGGTCCACAAATCTGCATGTCCAAAAGTCCTCCGTTCTTGCTTCATAGGCCTCCCAGTCTATTGCTCTAAAGTTGAAGTCCCCCAGTATCAACAGTCGTGATTTATCTTTATCTGCTTGTACAATAATCTCTCTCATGACCATTATGAGGCCCTCTCGTTTGTCATCCAGTTCTTCCTTTGTCCATGTGTTGCTTGCTGGTGGGCTGTAGGCATTTACAATTATCAGCTTATCATCCTGATTCCAGACCTGCAATGCCATTATGTCAATATCTCGAGGGTTTTCAAATATTAACTCTTTTTACCTTCAGGTGTTTTTTCACCAGTACAGCCACTCCTCCTCCCTTCCTAGTTTTCCTGTCATGTCTCCAAACTGAGTAGCCTCTTGGGAATATGACTTCATTTATTATATTTCCT